GATCACCAAGACCTGGTTGCAAGGTTGTTTCTGCAGCATCAAGGTTTCACCTGCGCTGGGGGAGTGGGGTGGAGCTCAGTGAGTCTCCTCTTTGAGAAGATTTCCCAATACCTTCTCTAAAGAACTTCTGCTGACATCGCATCTCCCAGAACCGGATCCCGGGCCCACAGCAAGGATCCTGGAAAATCAAGTTCTGTTTCACCTTTTGCACTGCTACTTTGAGAAGGAAAGAAATTCTTAGGAATGGAGAGCAACAAGACACTCCCCTAGTCAGGCATGGTGGCACAGGGCATCCCTGTAATCCCTGCACTGAGAGGCCGAGGCAGCAGGATTGCAAATTTGAACCCAGCCTAGCCAACTTACTGATTTAGTGAGATCCTGTCTCAAAAAATAAAAAAGGGTATGTAGCTCAGGCTTTGGGTTCAATCCCTAGTACGGCAAAGGGGATGGGAGCCCTAACCGTGGGCCCAGTGAGGCTGGCAGCCTGCTGAATTGGTGTATTTGGCATAAGGGCTGCACTACTGAAGACTCAGGAAAAGTGGACCCTGTGTTCTATGGCCCTTCTCAGCCCTTCCCTGAATAGCCTCCAAGGCTGAGTAAATATTTTAGTGTTCTGCCTTTCCCATCAATGATGCATCTGCTCGTAATTGTGATAAGAAGATACTTAAGACAAGCTCAGAGTGAGCCTTGGAGGAGCAGAGCCCAGACAACCCCAAGGGTGTCCTGGAGCTGGTCCTTGGGACTGAGGCCTCATCCAAATCCAGAGGAGAATAAGCAGAACATTATGCATATTACCAACCATTCATTCTACCCTGTAGGTTTTTTCCAAGTGTAACAGTATTATTTTTCCTTCTACATTTGTAAGAGATTGCTACCTATTAATGGTATCAGTATATAGATAGTGTATCAGTTTAAGGGGGCCCCCGAATGACTCAGTGAATATTCTAGGCTGAGGTAGTGTTCAAGGACAGGCCCGTGTGCACTGAGGGAGAGGGGAGGCCCCTTCCTAACATGCACACAGTGCATGCATGCAGGAATCGCTCTCAGGTTTGTAGTCAGAATTCAAGACAATGAAAAATGGGGAGATTATACCTAGACTGTGGATTTCCAGATCCTGCCGCAAATAAGGGACCACATGCCCTGCAGTGACTTCCTCAGCAGCCAAGGCCCTCATGACACAGGATTGTTCCCAAGTGGCCCCAGTCTTTACCCCTCCCTGTGACACAGTTCCCCACCACTCAGCACCCCCTGGAACCATTGACTTCCTTATCCCCAACATAATTTACACACTTGATTGTCAGAATTTGAGTTTGCAGCTGCGAGAGCCGAGCCTTCAATAAGAGCAAATGCCCTAGAAAGCTGGAGGGACCTGTGACAGTGTAGCCATGTCTTCAGCCAGGTCTCCTGGGACCCAGTTCCGATTTCAAATGTCTCTCGTGCAGATTTATGAGCACTGCGAGTCCCAGGGATTTCAGGGCCTGTGTGGGAGAAAAGCAGTGTGACTCGAATTGTGGTCACAGATGGCACCTGACTTTGCTGGTGTGGGCAGTGGCAGTGGAGCTCCCAGTCTGGAAGGGAGCAACAAGTAGCCTGGGCCTGGTGGGTGCCACCCCCTAGCCCTACTCTGCTCCCATGGGGATGAGGAAGCCACAGTGGTTGAGGTGAGAACCAGAGGTCGGGGAGCTGGAATGGGCAGAGGCGGTGCAGCCAGCTGCAGTGGGCTGCTGCCCAGCCCAGATGCATGCTCCACACCCTTTCTGCAAACATTGCTGACATGTGCAGAAATGCAGAAACACAAACGCTGAGAGCAGAGCTGTGAGTTCTTCCCTGTGTGCACACGGCTCTGGATGACTCAGCCCGAACCCCAACCGGGCACATTCGCAGGCAACTGGGGGTTAAATTGAAAAGAGTTCTTTTTTTTTATTCACAGGTGGCTGCAGTTAGGCCTCACCCAGTGGGAGGCCCTGCCCTGCCCTGGGAGGAGCAGGCAGCGCTGCCCAGCAAAGGCCAGTGGCCAGGCTGGAGAGAAACAAGGCCCCAGTGTCTGCCCTCACCTGAGCTCTGCCTCTCCTGGCCCAGGGATGGCTCTCCACACCCCTCACTGCAGGCTTGTGGCCCTTTGCCCCATGGGGTCTCTCCTGCCCCAGGGACAGCGTAGACCAGGGCCTGGAACTCCAGAAGGATCCGCATCATATACCTGGGTATATGACAAGCAGGGCTCCCCTGCAGCCCTGGTGTGGTTCTCTGTGAGAGGGAGGCTCAGGGTCAAGGAGCACAACTCTGTGTCCTCAAATAGCTGGTCCTGTGCCAGGCACTTCTCCCCCACTGGGACAGGATGGACAGACTGTGGCTGGCCCAGGTACTGGCCCAGAGCCTGCTGCCCACAGCCGCCCTCCCAGCTGCTCCTTGAACCGAGCAGGGCAGGACTCAGGATGTCCCAGCAAACCTTCTGCCCCAAGTCCCTGGCCTGGGTGTGACCGGACCTCAGAGCCTGGGTGTGAGCACCTGCGTTTAAAGCCTGCCCCTGATGCCCTCTCTGAGGCCCAGGGCAAGTCACACCTCCTTCCTGAGCCCCAGTTCCCCTCAGCAAATATGGAGATGAGTGAGCCCACTCTGCCCCCCAGGCGCAGGGCTCTCCAAGCAGACTCACAGAGGCATCACCACCTACCACATCACCATCTCTTGGAAGAAGAGCAAAAACAAGCCAGGCATGGTGGCACACAGCTGTAATCCCAGCACTTGGGAGGCTGAGGCAGGAGGATCACTGCTAATTTGAGGCCAGCTTGGACTACGTAGTGAGTTCAAGGCCAGTCTGAACTACACAGTAAGACCCTGTCTCAAAAAAACCAAAATAAATAAATAAAATCTTTAGAAGAAGAAGAAGGAGGAGGAGGGGGAGGAGAGGAGGAAGGAGAAGAAGAGTAAAAAGGGCAGTTAGGGAGAGAATCACAATTCACAGTAGCATGGCTCCGAAGCCAGATGAGCAAAAGGCATTCGAGAAGTGAGAGGAGTTAATGTGTGGGAAGAACTGTGAAAGGGACCATCCCTGAGCTAATAGGGGAGAGAACAGTCCAGGCATGGCAACTGCAATGCAAAGGCCCTGGGGCACTTTTCAAGCATTGGGAACAAGGCCCGTGTGGCTGGGACAGAGATGGGAACAGCCCAGAGGGCTGAAGGGGCTCTAAGGAAAAAGGAACCAGGGCCCGTGCTCCAGGGGCAGGACTGGGGATGGTGCCAAGGGGTTCAAGACAGGATATACTCTGAAGACTGAGCTATTGAGACTTGTGATGATCGACTGTGGAGTCAGAAGGGAGAGGATGCACCTGGAGTAGGTCACAGGTTCTGTCCTGTGCGACTGTGAGGAGGACTTCGGAGGGGCTGGTGACGAGTGTTTGCTCAAGTGTTTCCTGTCAAGCTGGCTGCCATGTCTGGAAAGAGGACTCTCCTCTCCTTAGACCTGTTTAGCATTAGCTACGGTGAGCTTCCCAACAATCACACCAGGGCTTGCTCAGTCTCCAGGACAACTACCCTGGCCTGCCCAACCCTGCCTAGACACCCCACCAACCCTGGGTTCCCCCAACACTCTCTGACTCTGCAAAACCCAACCCAACACACCCCACTCCGGGCAGGAGTGGTTGGTAGAGCCAGGTAGCAGCTCAGGTTCCCTCTCTGCTACTGCTTTAGCTGTGTAACACAGCCTAGTCACAGGGAGCCTGGGTGTCATGTCCTCACCCCACTGTGCACCAGCCTCTGGGGACCTGGCTCACCTCCATGCTGACTAGATTCCCTAGCCCTCAGCTTGCCACAGGGCAGGGGACCCCAGACAGGAGCTGGGTGAGTAAGGGGCTGCTCTCCTCGAATTCCCTACCCTGCTGCCAACACCAAGCTAGGCCCAGGGGATCAGCACCTGCTCCACGAGTCTCTGACCCAGGTGGGGACCAAACCCCAGCCCCTTCCCCAGGCCTCATGCATGTAGAAGCACAAGGCCGAGGGCAAGCGAAGGCAGGAGCAGTGTGGGGCCTGTGGGGCCCATCAGGTCCTCTCTCTCCCCATTCCTGCCACTTCTGGGTGTGCGTTGGTGTCAGTGGGAAGCTCAGCCTGCCTCAGACATTTTGAGGGAGCAGCAGACCAGCACCAGGTGTGTTCCCGAGGGGGCTGAGCTGGCACAGGAGCCCTGAGCAGCAAGGGCCAGGCCTCAGGGTGCTGAGCTTGAGGAGGGAGCAGGTGGTCTTGGGTAGCTATGGGCAAACCACTGGCTCTCAGAGTCTCCCTCAGAGAAAGGGGAGAAAGTCCCTCAGGACTGTGCTGAGTGTGGGCTCAGTCACACGCAGCAATGACATGCAGTTACTGTCTCTGAGCCAGAGGCCTGGCCCAGCCCCTCAGGAGAGGAGAGAGCCTGGCAGGAAGTGAGCCCTTGCCCTGGCGTTGGAGGCAGAGGTGGGCAACCTGGAGGGGTCAGGAGAGGCTGGGGAGGCTGGGAGACTTCCTGGAGGAGGTGGGGGTGAGAAGCAGATGCTCCCCTCTGACCTCAGAAGTGCTTTCTAGAGAGGGTCTGTAGGTCTGAAAGGCAGGCCCTGCCTGCTAAATTTAAAGGTGGTGCCACCCAAGAGATAACACCCAGGCTGTCAAGTAGAGTACAGGAATGGGCCTGGCACAGTGCGTGGCCACTATGCAGGCTGTCCTGTGGGATGAGCAGAAGGGTGCCTGGTTCGACTATGACCTTGAGAACAGGAAGAAGAACCTCGAGTTCTATCCATCCAACCTCACCCCGCTCTGGGCCGGCTGCTTCTCTGACCCTGGTGTTGTGGACAAGGCTCTGAAATACCTGGAGGTGAGGGGACAGTGGGCGGCTGTGGCCCCTGGAACAGAATGTCCCCAGAATGACTGAGCAGAGAGAGACCTGGCTGCACCAGCCACTCTTGCTGCCTATGCCTGTTTTACCCTGTGGGTCTTGCTGTGGCCACCAGAGGACAGCAGAGAGCCAAGGAGAGAAGGGCCAGGGAGGACACAGCTGGCTGGCTGCCTGAGGCCCCAGGGTCCTTCCTGGCTCCCTGTCCAGGCTCCACCCACAGTCACAGCAATGCCTGGAACCTTCTAGGACAGCCAGATCCTGACCTACCAGTATGGGATCCCCACCTCTCTCCGGAACACAGGCCAGCAGTGGGACTTCCCTAATGGCTGGGCCCCTCTCCAGGACCTGGTCATCAGAGGTAGGCAGACAGGAATGGGGCATCCTCCAGGGACCAAACCCAGAGTGCAGGACTTGGCCGCCCTGGTACTGGGGAGGCATGAACAGGGATGCAGGGCTCCGCGTCCTTTCTCTGGCTCCTGTCTCTTGCCCCCACCCCGTCAGCAAGCGGGTTGCCCCACCTGTCCAGTGGGACCAGCCTCCTCTCTCCCTCAAACCCAGGTGCTGGATTACGAGCAGGTTGGCCTGTGGTTCCAGGGAGGAGGTCTTAGAGCCCAGGCCTCTTCCCCTCCCTGGGGACAGGAAGGCCTGGCCCCTGCTCTGCTGAGGTGGGGGCTCTGGGGATTCAGGTCTTGCTGGGTTGGGGTCTAGGCTTGGCCAAGTCATCTTCACCTCGGACCCAGGAAGTGGCTTTCCAGCTGGCCCAGAATTGGATTCGAACCAACTTTGACGTCTACTCACAAAAGTCAGCCATGTATGAGAAGGTGAGCTGGCATGGGGTGTCCCTCTGACTCCTCAGGCAGGACCCCCTCCCCAGGTGAGGTGGGGAAGCGGAGGGCTTTGCTGGGCCCAGGACAGCCCAACCCGGGCTGTGGCGGCACCCAGTGGCCATTTCCTGGTACTGCAGGGGCTGTGAACAGAGCAGCTTCTCCCCAGGGGACTCCTGTGGGTTGCTGCCCTGGGCCTGGGAACACTGTGTGACCTCCAGTCATGCTCTTCTCCCCAGTACGACATCAGCAATGGACAGCCGGGCAGTGGAGGGGAGTATGAAGTTCAGGTGAGCTGGCATCGCCTTACAGGGATCCCCTGGCTCTGTCACCCCCCCCACAACCAACATGAGCCCTCAGGCCTCACTGTGGTCACCTGTATGTGAGCCCACCTACACGGGGAAGACTGACCAGTGCTCCTTGGTACCCCAAGAGGGGAGGACATGACATCCCTAAAACAGGGCTTGGGTCTCCCCCAGACTCTGGCCCACTGGCCTTGCCTCTCTCCAGAAGGAGTTTTGTTCCTGCATGGTGGATTGGAAAACTATCAACCTCTTGTGTATGGCAAGCAAAGAATTGCAAAGTATACACCTAATGGCAAGCAAAAGGCAGCTACATTTATTGAAGATCATGGGAGCAAGTCTGTGCAGACAAAAATATGTCAGGAACAGAAAAGTGGGGCCAAGATGACAGGAAAGTAAAAAGTGCTGCATACAGATAAATCAGGCTTTCAGAATTTAATGGATATGCACCCTAGCCTGGGTGCCTCCCACTGAGTCTCTGTGGGTGATTGACAGGAATGACTGACATGGTGCTGAGTCATGCCTGTCCCAGAGGTTCCCTGCAGTATATTCCCTGCTCACATACACCCCTCCCCCAAACCCCATAGCCCTCTCCACTGGCTGGCTGTCCTTGCTGATGTTGAGCTGGGGAGAACTTGACTGGAGGTCACCCTGGGACAGGCATTAAGATCACTCTGATTTTAGGGTTTTTTTGTTTTTTTTTTTTCTCTTTTCAGTACCGGGATTGAACTCAGAACCTTGTGCTTGTGAGGCAGGTATGGCACCACTGAGCTAAACCCCTGGTCCTAGGATCACTCTGATTTTGATTACATGAATGAGATGTAGTGCATATTTATGAATCTTTAATTTCTAGTAGGTAAAGGTGACTGAAGGTCAGGCCAGAAGACCCAAATACTCAGTTGCTGTCACTTAGAGCTTTGAAGATTTCCTGGTGTTTTGTTATGTTATTTTCTACCTCTTTTAGGAAGATGGAAGAAGAAATGGCCCTAGAGTATAGTCCAAACTCAGATGAGTGGAGGGGAGTGATTTCCTCAGCCCCTTTTTTCTAACTGCACTAGTTTGCCTGGTCCAGTGGGTTGGCCTGATGCTCCTGGACCACTATGGTGACCAGCTGACCTCAGAGACCCAGCTGACTCTCCTGATGCCCCACTGCCTGGTGGCCACCTTTCTCTCCCACCTCCTGTTCAGCTTCCTGCCATGGTGGCTATGGTGGCCACAAGGACCGACCAGGAGGCCACATGCCCACCTCTATCTATCTGCATGTCCTCGTCTGGCTCCAGCTCCTGCCTCCGTAAACTCCTGCACTACGCTCTCTCCTCCTGCTCCCTTCAGTCACCACCTTCCAACCTGTCTTCTGCTCATCCTGCACTGGGGGCAGGGCAGTGACCTGGAGGCCAGGGGCTTTGGCCAGGGTTCCTGCTAGAGCCCCTTTACCTCCCTCTCTCTCTCTCTCTCCCTCTTTCTATTATAAATGGTGTTTGAGCGGCCACTTGGATACAGGCTTTGTGTGAGAAAAAGCTTTATTCTTGTCCAGGTGTGAACAGGGACTGAAATTGGGGGCAGATTTCAGCAGCTAGCTGGGAAGAGCCAAATTTATTTCATCGATGTGTGGATAGGCTGACATCAAGAGAGAGATAGTAGCAGCTAGCTGGAAGAGAAAACTACGTTTATATAGGATTTGAGAAAGGGCTGTGATCATAGGGAATGTTTATGACTGAGGGCCCAAGAACAGTCAGCATGAGTGTGCAGACAATCACTGGACTTCTTAGTGCCGGGGAGATTGTATACTTGGTCCTAAATTTTCTTTATGGCCATCTGTCCTATTTACTGAGAGTAGCCTGTTGTTTGCAGAGAATGGCGTGTTTGCTGTGGAGTTCTCATTTAAGCCAGGCATGACCCTCTCTCTCTCTCTCTCTTTTTTCTTTTTCTCTTTCTTCTTTTCAGTGCTAGAGCTTGAAACCAGGGCATCTTGCCTGCAGGCAGGTACTCTACCAGTGAGCTATACTCCCACCCTAGAACCTTTAATATGGTGGAGATCTTGCTCTGGCAGGTGGGAGGAGACTCATACCTACTGGCCATTGTGCCCCAGCCCCACTGCCCCCACAACCTGTCCGTTCACATACCTACTTAGTCCAAATACAGTGCTACCTCAATTTACAAACTTAATTTGTTCCACAATCCTGGGGAAGATGGCTGCGTTCCTGTTTATGCAGGGAAGATGGCCACAGTCATGTTCATCACCTGATACAGAGTTCACAAATGGAAGCAAAATTTTGCCAAATGCTTCTGTTTGTGAACAGAACTGTTCGCAAACAGAAGCATTTGTGAACCAAGGTTTTACTGTATTCTGCTGAAATCCTCACAAATACTGAAGAACACCCGGCCCAGCCCCAAGCAATCTAGGTCCCCTGGCTAGGGATGGTGGATAGGAGAGCTGTTGCTTCAAAGGAGCTTTAGAGAAGGAGTACATGATGATAAAATAAAAACTTCTTTATTGTGTTTGGTTTTGGGGATCAAACCCAGGGCCTTGTTTATGCCTAGCGTGCACTCTGCCACTGAGCTACATCATCCCTAGTCCTATTTTCTCATTCTTAATTAATCTAATAAATAATAGCTTGCTTAAAATAACAATAGCAACAGGGCTGGGGATTTAGCTCAGTGGTTTCAACGCCTGCCTCACAAGCACAAGGTCCCGAGTTTGATTGCTGGTACCAAAAAAAAAATAATAATAATAATAACAATAACAATAGCAACAATGTATTCAGTGATTATAGTTTATGGAAAAGTGAAATGAATAGCAGAAATGACACAAGGGTCAGGAGGGAGAAATTAAGGCTACTTTGTTGTTATAAGGTACTTCTGCTAACAACAAAGTGGTTGTTATGGTTTATATCTAGATAGCCCCAAAGCCACATGCACTCTGAGGTGAGGCTTTTGGAAGGTGATTGGATTATTGGAGCTTATAGCTGACTTGCTGCTAGGAGGTGGGGTCTGATTGGAAAAGGTGAATCACTGATCAATCTTACACATACATATAACAGTATCAAAATATGTGAGCCAAAACTCAATAGTATTGCAGGGGGAACTAGATGAATATATAGAATTATAATATTAAGAACTGATTTATGCCAATGTCTTCGAGTGTTCTACCTAACTTATCTTCCAGCAGGTTAATTTTTACCAGCTGTTCCTCAGACAAAGGTCTACTATCTAAAATATATAAAGAACTAAAAAAAAATCATACGCTCCAAATATAAAGACCCAGTTCAAAAATGGGCATCTGAAATGAACAGACGTTTCTCAAAGAAGTAAAAGCAGCAAATAAATATATGAAAAAATGTTCAACGTCACTGGTCATTCAAGAGATGCAGATGAAAACAACACTGAGATTCCATCTCACCCCAGTAAGAATGGCTGCTATCAAGAAATCAACCAATAACAAATGCTGGCAGGGTTTTGGGGGAAAAAGGAACCCTGCTCCACTGCTGGTGGGAGTGCAGACTGGTGCAACCACTGTGGAAATCAGTGTGGAGATACCTCAAAGAACTAGGACTAGAGGTCCCATTTGACCCCGCTATTCCTCTGCTGGGTATCTTCCCAAAAGAAGTCAAAGAATGATACCACAGTGATATATGCTCACCCATGTTTATAGCAGCAGAGTTTGTAATAGCTAAAACTTGGAAACAGCCCAAGTGCACATCAACTGGAGACTGGATAAACAAGATGTGGTTTTTTTAATAAAATGGAGTACTTACTACTTGCCCATAAAGAATGAGAAACTAGAGACATTTATAGATAAATGGATGCATATTGAGGCCATACTCTTAAGTGAAATAAATAGGACACACATGTGTAAATACCGAATAGTTTCTCTGGTGTGAAAAACTAAAAGTGTAAATAAGGATCAAAATGTATAATTGATATTGTGAAATAGGAAGAAAACATCTAAAGGAGTAAGGGAAGTGGGAGGGGTAGGGAAAAGGAAAGAAGGGAAAAGAAAAAATATGAGAAAAGGAAAAAAATGGAAACAAAGTCTTTGTAAATAAGGAAGGTGGAGGGGGTGAAGGGAGGGCAGGGGAATGGGGAAAAAATAAGAACCAAGATACATCATGTAAAGATACAATATCCCAATGACAAATGTAACTGTATTGTATATCTAAAATGTACTAATAAACTTAATGAAAAAAACCCTAAAACAATTACCAATCGCTTTATATTCATAACAGTAAATACTTCTGTGCTGTACCTGTTAAGGCCATTTATAAAGCACAAAATCCATCAAATGGAAAAAAAGAGAACTGATTTATTAATAATATGTATATATGATATATAATTGTATAATTTTTCAATAGTTAGAAAATCAGTAAGGACCTAGTTTGAATTAAAGCACCAACAACTGTATTTAATTACATCTGTAAAATGATTCAACCAAAAACAGCATAACACTCATTATTCTCAAGTTCACGTGGAACATTCTCCAGAATAGAACATATTCCAGAACATAAAATACTTCTTTAAAAAAATTTAACTTTAAGAAACTAGAGGGCTGGGGATTTAGCTCAGTGGTTTCGCCACCTGCTGCGCAAGTGCAAGGACCCGAGTTTGATCCCCGGTACCAAAAAAAAAAAAAGAAACAAAAAAGACATTCCTATTTAGTGCAAGGACCCGAGTTCGATCCCCCATACCAAAAGAAAAAAGAAACTAGAAATCATGTAATATATGCACTCAGACAGTAATAGGATTAAGTAAATATGAATAAAATAAATATAGCCAGAAAGTCCCTAAATAGAGGAAGATTAACCAAGATATTTCAAAGTAACATAGGTAAAGGAAGAACTATGGAGAGAGTTTAAAAAATATTTTTAGGGGGGGCGCGGATTTAGCTCAGTGGTTTCACCGCCTGCTGCGCAAGCACAAGGACCCGAGTTTGAGCCCCGGTATCAAAAAATATATATATTTTTAGGGGATGTAGCTCAGCAGTGCAGTGCCTGCCTGACAAGCATGAGGCCCTGAATTCAATTCCCGGTACCAAAATAAATAAATAAATACATAAATACATAAATACATAAATAAATAAATATTTTTAGCTAAGTGAAAATAAAAACACAACTTGTTGCCAGGCATGGTGGCACATGCCTGTAATCCCAGAACTCAGAAGGATGAGGCAGGAGGATCACTGTGAATTTGAGGCCAGCCTGCACTACACAGTGAGTTCAAGGCCACATGAACTACACAGGGAGACTCTGTCTCAAAAAAGAGAAGAAAAGAAAAGACAACTTGTTAAAAGTTGTGAGATTCAGTCAAAGCAGTGCTTTGAGGGAAATGTAGAGCATCAAATGGATTAGAAAGGGCTGGGGATTTAACTCAGTGGTTCTGGTGCCTGCCTCGCAAGAGCAAGGTCCCGAGTTCGATCCCCAGTACCAAAAAAAAAAAAAGCATTAGAAAAAAGAAAGATCTACCATTAATAATCAGCTTCTACATTAAGCAGTGAGAAAAAAAATGAGTAAATTAAATCCAAAGCAAGCAGAAAGTAAATAATAAAAAATTTGAGCAGAAATCATGAAATGGAAAAGGAAATCAACAAGGAAAATCAATAAAACCTGAAGGTTATTCTTTGAAGGCATTAATAAAATTGATGTCTCTATCAAAGCTTAAAAAAAGGATAGACAAATTACTAATATCAGAAATGAAATAGGGTACATCACTACAGATCCAATGGATATTTTCCCCAATGGTATTAAAAGATAATAAAAGAAAGTTGTTAATAACTCTATGCCCACAAATTTGATAACCTACATGAAATGGACCGATTCTTTGAGAAACACAGTTTGCCAAAACTCAAGAAGAAATAAAATATTCAAATAGCCATATATATATATATATATATATATATATACATATATAAAAGAAGTTTAATCCCTTATTAATAACAGAAACCGCAGGTCTAGATGGGTTCAACTAGAGAATTCTACCAAACATTCTAGAAAAACTTACACCAATTTTCAAAATCTCATCTAGAAGACAGAGGCAGAGGGAATACTTTCTAACTCATTCTGAAGCCAGCATTACCCTAACACTCAAGCCAGACAGAATATTATAAGAAAAAAATAAGCCAACACTTCTCATATAGGTGCAAAATTCTTCAACAAACTGTTACCAATGGGCTGAGGGTCCTTTTGATCAATTTCAGTGGAAGCCACAAATTGGCAGAGTGCAGCTTCCTTGATGTTAGCAGCTCAGAGCTTTGAGTGCCAGTGGCTCCCAGCTCTTGATGTTACAGATCTAAGGGTAACCCTATGCCCTAGGTGTCAGTTTCCCCTGACAGTTCTTCAGCAGCTAGAGCTTGTAGCTCCCTTTGGTGGCTTTCTGAAGCTCTCCAGTAGCTTCTGGGGCTCTGTGATACTCTTCCACAGTTCTCCACGGTTCTATTGTTCAGCCCTTCACTATGCTGGTCCTCTCAGCCCTCTGCTGTTCTCTAAAGCTCTTCAGCAAACCTCTGCCTGCTATGCACACTCAGGGCTAACAGCCCTTAGTGACCAGCTCCACCCACTCTATCCTTAGTGTTACCAGCTCTTTCTTTAGTGCAACCAGCTCCACCCACTCTACCCAAGATAAAAATCATGAGTAGGCAATAAAACTACCAAACAAGGCTTTATTTGGGCCTTTGCTGCAGCACCAAGGGTCAGGACACAGGAGGGAGCGCTCCTGGATTGACCTGAACAGAGTGAGAAGTGCTCACTGTTTAAATAAGAAAGAAGTATCCTGCACAAGCAGTCTCCTGCATCTGGCAGACCTCCAAAGTGTAGACAGACAACCTGGAGTTATCTGAGGAAGTCATCTGAGGTGGTTGTGGGTGGTCAGCAGCTTCCAGTGCTGAAATAAAATTTCCACCACCTGATGCAGCCATGCCAGAGCAGAGCTCCCCAAAGCATCCTGAGGGGTCTAGGACAGGCTTGGCTGACATGTAACAGCCCTGCCCAACTCCCAGAGAAGCAGTGGTTTGATTGACAGTGCCCCTATTTCTGTGAAAAGGGCTGACTTCTTGACTTCTGCTGCCTCCAACATTTTCTAGAAAAGCAGGTGGCAGTGTTGATTGTGCCCAACAGGGTTTGGGGACCTTGGGGATAATGGCAGTTGCCTCTGGTCTGACTCTTCTCTCTGCCCAGCCAGGCACAATCCTCTGGCCGCTCCTCGGGGAGGCAGCTGCAGCACCCAGGTAGTCTGTAGTAGGGAAGGAATGTTACAGCTGCCCACAAGCCCCAGCTCCTGTGAAGGCTGCAGGAAGCAGCCCCATCTAGAGGGCAGTTAGTTGTCAAGGTAACTGCAGAGGTGGCAAGAAGACACCACAGCCTTTCCTTACCCTCCTGGGTCACCCTTTGGGCACCCCAGAAGTTGAATGAAGTTGAGGGTTATGGTGGTTATTATGGCCAAGATCACATAAACTTTGGCTATCAAAGGGAAAAGGAAAATCGCTTCTCAGCCTTTTGGCTAAGATCAAGTGCAAAGGGAAAAGAAAAGTGGGGTGGTGGC